GAAATCCAAACTTTAGGTCACCAGCACATGCACTACCATCTTTAGGTCCTCCAAATCTAGGAAAGGGTGCAGCTACCATGTCAGCTGAAGCTAATAATAAGCACTCCTGACAGCCACATCTACCTGGGCTGATGAATCCAGAAAATATATTCCATATATATATCTAAACAGGCATGTGGGGGGGGGGCTCTGGGGGCTCCCCCCCCCCCGAAATTCACATGGTGGTCTGAAAAGGCCTTACTGGTACATTATTTAAACTGTTATGTTTATTCATATCATGATCTGATCACCATGCTCAATATATCTCATATGCATGGGGTATTGGGGTAATGATACAAAAGGTTTGCTAGGGTAGACCCTCTTTCACTCAGACTCAGCCCCCCCCCGAATCAAACTCAGCCCCCCCCATCAAACTCAGCCCCCCCCCCCTGAATCAAAATCCTGGCTACGGGCCTGTATCTAAATATAAACTTTTTATTTTATACATCACAATCATTCATCAGATTGTGCCAGTCTCTGAAATTGTGATATGATTGCTGGCTATATACTAAACTACAGATAAAATGATATAAAATTTAGAATATAATTGATCTGGAAATGCTTATATTGAAAGGAAATTTTAATACTTTGTATTTTATATGAAAATAAATTCAAGAATGTACCGTTCATTGAAAATACAGTTTGATGTGGTTATTTTCCATATTCTGGATTAATGCAGAAACATGACAAAATGAATTTATGAATGAATGCAAGTGAAACGAACACAGACTAGATCAATCAATCCTTAATTTATAATACAATATATTGAAAGGAATTGTTTTTGTTGTAATATGCTAAGCTTTCTATTGATAGTAAACAAGTGTTGTAAAATATAATTTGCATTATATTCTGTTTAATTGCTAGTTGTGCTGAGCAAGAATTTTGCTTGCAGGAATGCCTACAACTTCACAATTTCTTGACATGAGGTATTCATATAACATTTAATAAAACTGTATTAGTGTGGATTATGGCATGATTTTACTGGGTATGATCTTGTAAAATAAAAAGGGAAAAATACCTTTATTGTCTGAAGAAATTCATCTTGTGACAGGAAAGGAGACAAGCAAAAGATATTGAGTGCTTCTGTTCATTTCATGAACCTATACCTTGCCTTTCTCCTGGGATGGGATCCAAGATGGTTGGAAAATCCTTAAAGGCTGGTCTTAAGTGGTGGTAAGATAGCAACCATTCCTGGAGTTGGAGTCTCATGCTTGCTCCATCCAAAGAGAGTAGCTTATTATTATTATTATTATTATTATTGTCGTGTCAGGAACAATTTGAGAAACTCCAAGTCGCTTCTGGTGTGAGAGGATTGGCCACCTGCAAGGACATTGCCCAGAGGATGCCCGGATATTTTGATGTTTTTACCATCCTTGTGGGAGGCTTTTCTCATGTCCCTGCATGAGGAGCTGGAGCTGTTAGGGGGAGCTCATCCGCATTCTCCCCAGATTCGAACTTGTGACCTGTCGGTCTTCAGTCTTGCCAGCACAGGTGTTTAGCCCACTGCGCCACCGAGGGCTCCATTAATAATAATCAATAATAATAATAATAACCAATAAGTAGCTTATTGAAGAGAATGAATGGTTACAACAAGTAAGAAGCAACCAAAATGCTTGAATACATAAAGCAAAGAAATATAAAGGGAAAGTGAAAATGATCTCTGTCCCCTATCATCCTAACATCCTATCCTTCACTGACTTCTTTATACATGAGTTTTTACATATCTTCTAGCTCTAGCAGTTTAGGTTTTCTTCGAGAAGCTAAGGACTGAAATAATAAAAGAGGGTGCTAATGCTTCAAATGTGGAAATCTTTAGTTCTCCAGATATGTTCTGGGCAAATATGTTCTAGAAGTCCTTAGTTATGAGCAAGGACATATACACACACACATAATCTCATCAATGAATTTGCTCTGGTTTTGCTTTGCACAGCTAAGCAATGTCAACACTGGCTCATTCTTGGATGGAAGACTGCCAATGAATATAAAGTGCTGTAGATTACATTTCAGAAGAAAATGTGAAAGGGAAATTGTATTTGTCCTATGCAAAATATATGTGTGGCCTCGGCCCATAAAAACAGGGTGCTGTTCAGAACAAATCTTGTCAGACTCCTGTAATCCTCACAACCAGAACAGGCAGAGGGAAGGGGCTATTGGGAGTTCTAATCCAAACAAGTGATTTTCCCGAACTCCATTTCAGAAACAGCACAGAAACGAATGTTTACTCCTCATTCGCTATGTCCATGCTTTTTGCTGCAGGATTTGATTTGAGTTAATCAAGGAAGATGGGGAGACTATAATAAGGTGTTATGAACTATAGAGAACCAGTGTCCCAATCAGCATAAAACAGTTAATGTTAACTCAAAACAGACCACAAACGTCAGTCTTCTTTTCACTAGGGACATTTCCTGGCTCTGATACCTGATATTTTCAGTAGAATAGTTAGATTTTCAGAACCACACTTTCAATCTCTCCCCTGCCAGGAACAAATCAGTGGCATACCTGGAAAGTGAAAATATCAGGAGAAATAACTGAGTTTGACTGATTGCCTTATATACATACAAGCCAAGATTTACAATCAGACTGTACACTTTGGCAATATGGGGTTTCCTGGGAATTCTTGTACACTGAACAGCCTGCTATTGCTTTCCTAAAAGTCAGTGTAAGTGGAGTGGAAGGAAACCATATGGTCCATGATGCTTTGTGCTGAAAAGGTTAATGTTCATGACACTGTCTATCAGGAAAAAATGCCTTCTACTTTTCACAGGAGAAAATTAAATAAGAGAAATACAGCGAGATAAAGGATGAAATGAAAAGTAAAACCGAAGGCATCAATTGAATCACTACTGTTTCATTCTTACTACCACTTTCATGTGCAAATTCAGGGACATCTCTGAGATGAAGCAAAGTTGAAGCACATGTTCAGGTATCCATGCCACAGGGGCAAAATAATGCATCCTACATGGCTTCCCTTCCAATTCCCTTAGCTACTTTCATGACCCTTCCATACACCATATAACACAGAATATCAAGGCAGGTAATCTACAATATCTGCTTTGAACTGGGTTATCTGGGTCCACACTGCCATATAATCCAGTTCAATGTATATTTTATACAGCTGTGTGGAAGCGGTCTCAGTGAAGTTTGGGGAGAGGCTGCTTTATTGTCTGTGTGGGTTCAACTGAATAGTCTGTTGGCTTTGAACATGGAATAAAAAAGAAGCACCCCTTTGAACTCCTCAGTATATCCTTGGTCAGCCCCATGCAAAACCTTTAGCTTTGAGGCCTTCCACAAATTGGAGGGGTAGCCCCTATGTTAAGAAGCCTATTGTACTCTGTTATGTGCCTTCAAATCTCCTATAAACCTATGGAAACCCCCATGCATTTCATAGGATTTTCCTAAGGAAGGAATACTCATAGGTAGTTTTGATAGGGAGCCTACATACATTGGTCAGCATGATCTTTATATATGGAATACTGCAAAAACAGGCAGAAAAATAAGAAAAGGAGAGAGTGAAGCCAATGGGCTCATCCTTATTCTCCTGCTGAGAAGACTTTGCAGGCTGAAGCTTGTAAGCTAACAGAAAACCCCAATGCATGTCTCCTCAAAAACCTGTTCCACTGAGTTCAGTAGGCCTTATTCCCTCATGTGTATAGAAATGAAGCTCTGGATTTATGGTTTACTGAATTAAAATGAAAATATTTCAGAATATGAACACTGACATGAAAAAGCAAACAACCTATCGAATGGGAAGGTTTTTCTTTTCACCTTCACATTTTATATTCTTGTTGTTTCAGAAATTACATGATCTGTATATGGTTATTTTCCACAGATAATAAACTTTTTGGAAGACATTCAGAATATTGCATTTCAGTTTAACCATAATTTATATTCAGGTACTGCAGATGCTCTTCCACAGAATTGGAAAATCTTGACGAATAGACAGTTGTGTCACTTGTTCCCCATAAAATAAAATACAAGCAAGCTTTATTTTTGATAGTACATTGCAGTGAATGTAGTAGTACATAAATGGGTTGTTCTCTTTGTTAAAAAAAAACCACAATGGGACTATTTCCTTGTTCTGAGAACAGAGCATTCATAATTCCATAACATATCTTCCTCTGCATTCCTCAATCCTGCTATTTACCATTTGACCGAGCAGCATTTCACTGTACATGGTGAAACAGTAATAAATTAAGAGCAACTAAGGTTAAATCTACACTAAAGAATTAATGCAGTTTGACATCACTCGATCTGCCAGGGCTTTGACCCATGGCACTTGAAGTGTCAAACTACATTAATTTATAAATAATATTCATTAATGATATTTATGAAGGAAAGGAGGGAAAGAAAGTAATGGCATCGTTAAGACTAACTGGATTTATTTCCAGAACCCAAGCAATGCATTTTAGCATTTTTGAGTGATTTCCATATGGACTACAATCTTTAAAACATTGTTATTTAAGCACAATTAAATTGGAGTGGATTTATATTGTAATGGAATGCAGAAGAAGGCAAATTGTAACACTAAGCACAGAGCTTAGGCTCTTTCACATTGCATAATTATACACTATAATTCCTCTTTTACTGCCATGGGAACATCCTGGGTTTCCACGTCTGCTGAGGGGCATTTAGAATTCCACTCAGAGATGTATTGTGCCTTCTAACATTTTCCGCTTTACTTACAGGAGGTCTCAAAAATCTCTTTTTGGCCCGCAGGAAGTCACAGAGGGAGGAAAGGAGAGGAACAACAGAAAAGTGCCTTCCTGATATGCCATCACATCATACATGGTTGGGAATCCCTTCCCACCTCAGCCCAAAATTATTGGCCGACCTTGCAGATATTTACTTAGCCTGCTTCCCAATGATCACTTTCTGGTGATCTCCTCACTACCTGGAGGTAGGCTGCTGGTGAACAGTTAGGAGGCTCTTCACATCACAAGAAACTCTCAACAGCTTTGTCCATGGAGAAAAAAGACAGCAATCTCTGGAATTGCTACTCCACTAAAACCAGAGAAGAGCCGGGGAGCAGCAGAAGGGCACGCGCCATTGCAGGACAGGCCTTTAAAATTTTTCTTCCGCTGTTTGACCGAGTCCTGGTTGAAAGATGCATAGCAGAGACTGTAACGAAAGGAGGCATCATGCTCCCAGAAAAGTCTCAAGGAAAAGTACAAGCCACGGTTGTGGCAGTTGGCAGAGGCTCCAAAGGCAAGGAGGGTGAAGTACGGCCAGTTAGTGTAAAAGTTGGTGAGAAGGTCCTACTACCTGAGTATGGTGGAACAAAAGTTGTCCTGGATGATAAGGACTACTTCATATTTAGAGATGGTGATATTCTTGGAAAATATGTTGACTGAGGGTTTCTGATGGCTGCATTATCATGAAGGTGTCATTCCACAAGAAGTGCTCAAATGTTTTTGTTCCATCATGTAAATATCATTATATTACTGTATTTTGTGTTTATGGGGAGTCAAGGATGAGGATCAAGGATGTGATTGAATGTAAAAATGATTCTCGGACCCAGCATACCAACCCATGCTTAGACTGAGTTAGACTGTGAATGGCTTTTTCACATGAAGTCATGATTTCACTTTAACTGCCATGACAACATCTTATGGAATTCTCAAATTTGCAGTTTTAGGAGGGATAACTAGCATTCTCACTACCTCACAAGAAAAAAAACCCCAAACTACCCATCCCCATGCCATAGAATGCACTCAAAGCGGTTAAAATTGAATCACAATACATTCATGGTGCTGTTTAAAAGAGCTGTGGTAGCAAGCCATAAGAAAAACCTCAAGATAAGACTGGATCCTTCCAGACAGGCCTCTCGGGATTGGGGACCCACAGCAGCCCCTATTGGGATAAGGCTGGTGACCTGTTAGGATCATAACCTATGGGGGATTATGGATTATGACCTGTTAGGATCATAACCTATTGGGTAGCAGAGTTATGGAGGTGTTCCTTTAGTTTATTGAGTAATAGATGATCACTGGGCTCATAAATATCTTGTTTCTATTCAATGCTCTCAGTAGACAAAGATTCAAGTAGATTTCTTTTTAAATAACTTGTTTGTTTCACTCATAACTTTATTATTTAAATATACAGGCACATTTCTTGTCAGGTTAAACTTTTACGTTTGTATGTTTAACTTATAGTCTTTAACAATATCTTAAAACTATATTATTTTTTTCTGTACAGTTCTCTTTCATAACAGTCTACTTTCAAAGGAACTCGAACCTCAACAGTTTTCTAACTTCTAATACTGACATCTGACTGAAAAACAGACTTTTGTACTCAAGATGACTCAAGGCTTAAATGGTTTCTAACTTCCTACACTGACATCTGTCTTCTAACAGACTCAGACCTCAACTGTCATCCCTCAACTGTCATCATGTTTAAAATTCATTCTAAACAGTCATGTGATCTGCAGACCCTCCCACTGCCTCAAGTACATAGAGCTAAGGAAACTGCAAACAAAAGAAGGCATACACTTCAGGAAATAAAATGGCACATTATAAACAGATATAATATTAAATAGCGGAGACCTGAGAAGGTTGCTATCTCCAACAGTCCCAAACCACAGGATTTTATAGGGAGGGGATTGGCTACATGCTACCAAAGACTGATCAGGAAGGGCATCTAGCCAGCCCCCAGCACCATAATTTCCCCTCTAAACTTACTGCATCCTCAGACCCCTCAGAGAAAGCTACTGCTGCTTCAAAATGATTTATCAGAAGCTTTGGCGGGGGGGGGGGGGGGGG